ATAAATAATTGTTTTTATGTTGAGTAAAATGTTGAAAAATTAAAAACAAATTGTAAATGGTTATAAAAGTGTAAAAATAGGTATTTTTAGTATTGACCATTGTTTATTATGACAACGAGTATCTCTAAAAATTGTGTGTCCTTTCTAAACCTTCATTTAAACCCACGGTACGCGATAAATTTTTTGAAATTTTCGTAATTAACAATCCTCTCAATCGAAAATCACGCTATCGGTCGTTGCAAAATTTTTAGGGTAGGATTGACATATGTTTTACTATTTGTTCACAAAGTTTTCTCAATATTTATAAATATTTACTTATTTTAAAAATTTCTACAAATATACATATAATTTTCTACTATTTTTCGCTCATTGTTAATGCAAAATTTATTTTTTTTTCATTCGCAGTTGTAACTTTATAGAAAATCGTCAAATAAACAAAAAATAAAGAATGGCTTTTTTTATTTAGGGCTTCCTTTCAATGTCACAGGAAAAAATATGTCGAAAAATAAGTCATTTTTTGTTCTGTAATTAATCATGTTGCCATGCTGTAAGACCATTATCTTGTAAAACCAGCTTTAGTAAATTAAGTATTAATTGTAAATTCATTATACTCATCTCATTTTTCCACAAAGCTATTTCAGAGTGGAAAAAAATATACTTTTTTCTGTAACGGGAAAAAGTTTGACATTTTATCTCTGTTGACAGGTAACAAAATGTCACTTTTTATGAAATTGCTGTTTTCCCCGGGAAAAAAGTGAGTACTTTTTTCCCGGATATATACAATATACATAAGTAAAGGTAGATATTTAATTTTAGAATATTTCATTATATAGAAGTTACATTTCCTTTACACCAAAAGTACAATTATTAAATGTACATTGCATAATTGACATGTTTCTTAAACTATTCGGTATAACAGTCGAACTTTCTTGTGTATTTTTTTCTGTCATGGACACAACAGCCGTTGATGTACCTGGTCGCAAATCGGATGTTATTTCAGCACTGCCACACGTTCTAAACACTTTATTAGCTATTTCTGTCCTGTGTGCTACCGATTCATCAATATATCCTTCAGCGACCGTTGATGACTTCCAACCGCCATGTTTCTTTAGTGTCATCAAGTCTCCCCCAGATTCAACTAAAAATGTAGCAGACGATCTCCGAAATGAATGACCTGTATATGAGTTAGCATTGTCAAGTTGAAGAAAATTAGCTACTGTTTCAGGTACCTTATAAAACTGATTTTTACCCACAACCTGATTGATACATTTCCCATTGCGATATGCATAAAACAGGCGACGATCTTTTGCTGCTGCTGGACGAAGGGCTATGTACATTCGGTAAAATTTAACATATTCTTCAGTAACTACAAATCTCCTGTTTACATCATTCTTTGTTTGCTTAAGTTTCACAATTAATAGCGTTCCCGAATCTTCAATATCATCTAATCTTACCTGGCTGATTTCACAAATTCGACAAGCTCCTGCAATCCCAAATACAACAACAACCTTGGCCATTAAATAAACTTCATCAGGAGCATTATTTAAAAAATCATTAATTTGTATAATCGTAAAAATCGCAGATTTCTTGGGCGTATAACTTTTCCCATTTTGTTTCAGAAATGTAATTAGTTTGAAATATTTTGAAATGTCTATATTATTATTGGATTTTAACATACTTTTAATCATTGAATAATTCGACCACACTGTTGATGGCTTTTGTTGTTGTGCCAGTTACACAAAATAAGCCAATAACACCGTCTCCGAAAAAGAGCTGCATATCTTTTTCATCTTCCATTTCATAAATCTTGAATACGCGGTTTCGTAAATTTTCCGCGATTTAGCTGGCAATAATTTTTGTGACGCTACTTTCGCTGCTTCTACTAACTCCGGTGGAGTCAGAGAAAACTCTTTATCAGACATTTTTTAACTATATTATTCAAAATAACTACTAAACAACGACTAAGTTTGCAATTTTTAAATCAAATCACAGAATTAAATTGACAGATATTTGATTACTTTAAAGGTTTCCTTAGCAACGCAGATGTAATTGTCGCTATAAGTATAACAGCCTACCAATTTAAAACTTTAGTGACTAATATATTGTAATAACGTTTTTTCAATATTAAATCATTGTTTTTCCCGTCACAGAAAAAAATAGTGTATTATACACGGGAAAAAAGTAGATTTTACCTCTCGGTTTTTTGTCTCCCTCCGCTTCGCGTCGGGGGACAACACAACCTCGAGCTAAAATCTAATACTTTTTTCCCTTGTATAATAAACATCTATATATTATTTAGAAAAATCAAGCACACCTCCTTTAAATTATTTTCGTTACAATTCATAACGACAAAATTACTAATGACATTTATTTGCAAAAATTTTATGTTTAATAACACTTTATCAGCGATTTCCTGCTAAACGGTTACATTTATCGGCTTGAATAAAGGGTAAGTACCTACAAATTTTTTTCTGATATTATTTCTCTTTTCAATAATGTTTAAATTTCTGTGATGTCTAGGAAGAGAAAAAAGTTGTGAACATAACAAATTTTAAGTTCCATAGGATCACCTCCCGGAGTTTCCTGATGGAGTTTCAGAACACTCTGTATACATACATGGTGATTCATTAACAATGGGAAAATCGAAAGCTGAAGTTACTACATGTAAAATGCTGACAATTGGCGCAAACATGCCTTACGACGAATAAGATGGGTGTTGCAATTTTAGTGTTGCTCATAGAGGGCGCCACTTACGACCAATTTTACCGAAAATTTAGTTAATAACTTTTTACCCTGTATGTCTAACATAAAACTTGATTCTAAACCTGAAAGGGCAATCATTTTTCCATTAACTATGTACTCTTGTTTCATTTCGGTATCTCGATCCGTTTTCGAGAAAAATAGATTCGAAAGGCACCGGGTCAAGGACGTCCCAGGATTAATAGGGAAGCGGAGGTCCTTGACGCTATTGAACAAGAACCTACGACTAGCATACGGAACATTTCAAGGCAAATAAATGTTCCTCGGCCAACGGTACTACATATCTTAAAGATTTCCTTAACAGAATTGATTAGATGTGCTACTAACATTTCAGGTTGGAAGAATATTAAAGCGACAAGGTCTACATGCCTATCACTATCGACGTGTACATGGCTTGATACCAGAAGATTTTGCGCCACGTATGCAATTTTGTCGCTGGATTTTGTCGCTGGACAACGAGCAAGCTTCCAAAATTTTGTGGTGTGACGAAGCTACTTTTACCCGAAATGGAAAATTAAATTTTCATAATTCTCATTATTGGGAAGAAGAGAACCCACATGTTGTTCGGAGAACAAACTTCCAGCAACGGTTTTCCATAAATTTATGGGCGGGAATAATTCACGACACTCTGATTGGACCTATTGAAATTCCACAACGTCTCAATTCAAATCTTTATTTAAACTTACTTCAAGAAAATCTTCCCCAAATTCTCGATGATCTGCCTCTAAATTTACGACGTAACATGTTTTTTCAACACGATGGAGCCCCGGCACATAGTGGTCGCAATGTTCTAAATTTCCTAAACGAAAATTTCGCTGGACGGTGGATAGGGAGGCACGGACCGGTAGCTTGGCCGCCGCGTTCTCCCGACCTAACCCCGCTGGACTTCTTTTTCTGGGGATATCTAAATCAAAAAGTTTACGCCACCGAAGTCGATACCCGTGAGGAATTGCTGCAGCGTATCAATGATGCAGCCAATGAAATTCGTCAAAACCGTTTTAGCATCTTAATAGCTTCGAGAAGTGTTACACGTAGGGCAAGACTTTGTATCAGAGAAGGTGGAGGGTTTTTTGAACAGTTTTTAAAATAGCTTGTTGTCTGTTATCAAAATTAAGTTTCCATCTTATGATCCCTTCGAAAAGTGACGGTTGCAGCTAAATTGCGGAATACAGTGAGGAATGTCCTCCTTGATGTCAGCCTTCTGTTTGGAAACCTTCTGCCGTACTCGCGTTCTGCCGCGCAGCATTACCATCGCAAAAGCCATAAACAAATCATCATATCATAATTGTTCTACATCAATAATGTGTATTACTGATTACGTATTAAATTATTATTATTATTTTTTGTTTAAATTACTATGAAATTGACCAAAGTGGGATTAATTCAAGAGCGATTTTCTCAGAAACCGTTAAAGATAACGATTTGAAACAAGAGTACCTTTTTAACGTAAAACAGTTCGGGAAAACGGAATTTGCTGTCCAATTTGTTAAAAAGTCAAAGATGAAAAAGTTACACACGCAAAGTACCAAGGGCCCCCCCGTACCCACCCCAATGGACCTTGTGGAAATAAATGGATTAGTCCATCAAATTGCTCATCAAAATTTAGCTGTGTATACCAAATTTCATTCATTTATCACAACGCGATTGAGAGATATTGCAAAAAAATGATTTCCATTCCTCCCTCTTCAATGGGTCCCTGTGCCCTTAGGAAGCATTTCCGGACCCATGTTCATATGAACTTTTTTACATAGTTTTGATCATAGAATCGGCCTGTTCAGGGTTGGCAGCTAATTATGAGACACCCTGTATTCTGGCTCACTTTAGGCAACATTTTTCCATAAATTAAAATACAACAAAATTTTCGATCTTCTCAACTCTATCCGTGGACACACTGTAATGCATTTGTTGTAGTGGTATTAGTTCTTATTTTTTAAAGAACTGAATATTTTTGATATATTCTGGATATATATTTTCTTGATGAAGGAATCTGTAAGGGTTTAAATAATGGTATTAAATAAAAGTAATAGACAGTAACAAACAAGTTTTATTGCATAGAATTTAACAAAGCAACTTTTAAACCCCAAATGTGCTATACTGTTAAAATTTAATTTGGATTAAGTAAAAAATATGTTATGAGCTTAGTGTGCTTTATTATTTGATTAAACTGCCGCGATGTAGGCAACAATAGACACTTTACTTATCTGCATGGAATATGGAATTGTAGGATTAATAACTTTATAAGTACTTACACTTATTCAATGAAGTTTCACTGAGATATATCATTTTTCTTTATTGGGTAATATGCCAGCTGTGAAGAAATATTAAATTTAAATTAAAAATTTATTAAATAAGCCCCTGCACTAAAAGGATCAGCCAATAGGTATTTTTATTAAAACAGTTTTACTAAACCAAAAATTTGACACTGAAAAACGCAAACAAATATAAAAAACAAAAGTCTTGAATTTTCGATAATCGATCTGTTTTGGTTTTCATTGCTCAGCTATGACGTTGAGTTGTTAAACTATTTGTCTACCCTTTTTAGTGTGAGAGTTTTGTTTCTAGGCAAAACTGATCCTTTTCGTTACTAAATTATTTTCACAGGTCGCAAAATATCCAGTAATTAAAAAAAAACTTAAAACTATGCCACAAATAAGTAGCTTCAGGCAATATACTAAAGTATATTATGTTTCTACATTTGTACAAATCGCTGCTTTAGAAAATCAATTGACTTTCTTGTGTACTGGTACTTGTTTTCCTAAGAATTTCGAAATAAACCTATATACAAATTTAACCAATAAGACTACAGCAGTTATCACAAGTGCAACAACCGCCAATAGAAAACTTATTACATCTATAAGATAATACTGATAAAGTGGAATATCCGCAGCGGGATTCCTTAGGTGTTTGGCACCCTTATTTCGAATGACATATTCAGTCCACCATACCGCTTTTTCTAGACCAGTCATAGGCGTATCTAAAGCGAGCTGTTTGAGACGCCGCACTGTGTTGCGATATCTGAAAGATATTAAATATATTAGTGTTTCAATTACAGTGGAATTAGGATCTATTATGTATTTGAAGTGATAAATAAACATTAGTACCATTTGTCCCCTGACTTATAACTACACAATCCCTAAAAAAAATTCTGTATCAGAGACATGACTACATAGATAACAGGCGTGGAATTAACCCCCTTGTAATGGTGGGTGTGAATTTAATTTGCATATATCTTTTTCCAACGCTCAAAATATTATTTTAAAATGTTTTCGCAAAATATTTATAAATTGTTGCTTTTCAATATAAAGCTTTAGAGATGTTTTAAAATCTTATGAGCTTTGACCTTCATATGCGCAGAAACATAATTCCGACCGTCGCCTAAACTATTCTACGTCCTAAAAACATTACACCTATTGTTCACAGTCTCTCTCGAGCTCTAGCGTAAACAAGCCTTTGATCCTATTACAAATATCATAATAAAATGCCATATGCTTTATTATTTTAATTTAAACAATAAAAATATACCTATATAATGAACGTTCGCCAGTTGACTTTATTGATGACCGAGCGCCTTAGTTCATTTCTAGTTGTAATGAGGCACGTGGCCTAATTCTGAGTCAATGTTTTCACAACGTGCTTATTAGAAGAATTATGGGGATACGCCACGCCTTTCGCGCATTTCGCGGCTCATGAGATATTAAAAGATCTCTACCTTGTCCTCACTATTTTACCCTGTTTTAGGAGATATTTTAGCGTTTTACTAAAAAATACCCTGGTATATCGGTTTTTGGGCTACGGATTCGGATTCAGCATGAAAAAATACACAATATCTATTCATTCCTCTGATACAGAACTCTTTTGTAGGTATGTGTTAGAGAGTTTAAATTTTCATATTAAATAGCAGTCTCTTGGCCCCGGTTACCAATTTTTGGATACGTATTTTAAATGGGATGTTATTTTCTTTATACAGACGCACAAAATTCTTTTCTCATCATACTGTAGATGAGTGGTGACGTTATCGATATTTTTTTAATAATAATTATTTATTTATTTTTTATTTATTTCGCTCTATAGCTATTAAACATGCATACACATTTAACCAATTTTATACAAAACACAAATTGACATAGCTGACATCATAAACAGGAATGACAATAACCGAAATTGATACAAAATGAACTACAATTTATCGACATACAATTTTGTAACTTCTCTAAAAAATTCTCCCAGGTAAAGAAATAAAAAGTCGTATTCCGTCGCTAAATAAGGTTTTTTGCAACCTGCTTGTTTTAACAAAATCAATTACACTTAGTTCTCACATTATATGGGTGAATTTCAGCTCTAGTTGTTAGAAAATTCTGTAGATATGTTGTCAGAAGTCCGTTCTTAATTTTAAATATTAATATAACATTAGCTCTTTCAATCATGTGTTCGACTGGCAGCCACTGCAACGTTCTTTGCATATGTTTTACTGATATATATTTGTCACAGCAGAGAATACTTCTCATAGTCTTATTATGTAACAGCTGCAATCTTCCAATATTTTTTTTGGTACAAGAAATTAACAACGACATACAATAATTAAAATGAAGTATAATCGTATTATAGATTTACAATTAGCTCCACTGTGACAAATTGAAAGAAATGCAATGAAAAAAAACAACTTCTTTTGTCAACTTTTTGCCAGAGATAATGGCTTTATATATATATATATTTGTTTTGTACGTTTTGATTGATTTTTTATTTTCTTTCCAACTACATAAAATTTGTATGTTTTTGCATAATGAAATTTTTGAAAAAAAAATGGGACAAATTTCAGATTGTAACCTTAGTTTATGGTGCTCGCTTTTTAAAACATATCAAATGGAAGGTGCTGGAAAAACAATTATTTTTACCGCTATCTGTCACATATTGGTATGTTTGTAATTGTTGTCATCTTTCAAGTTTAACTTACATAACCAAATGAATGATTTTAATGAAGAAGTTGATATGCTGCAGGTTTATTATGAATATACAAAAAAAACAGTGTTGCAGCTTTACAATTATATCGACAACGTTATCCTAATAGAATTTCCCCTAACAGAAGAAAAATTTGAATACTTGAAGCAAATCTAAGACAGTATGGAACGCTAAAGAAGAAAAAAGTATTTTTTGGATATACATACTTGCAATGAAAATCGAGAGTTATTACAAGAAGTACAAGAAAATGCGAATACTTCCATACCTACGGGAATTAGCCAGGAATCATAATTTAACCGAGTACACGTTGCGTATAAAATTTTACATAAAAATAAATTGTTTCCTTACAACGTGAATTTGGTTCAACATCTTCATGAAAATTACTTTGAACAAAGAATACAGTTCTGTCGCTGGTTAAATAATGCAAATAGTATTCCCAACTTTCTAAAAATCTTTTTATGGACAGATGAAAGTAATTTTTCTAACCCCATGTTTAACCGCAATAACATCATACCATTGAAGCCATGATAATCCTTGTTCAGTATTCGTTAAGGTAGTAGTTTTAATATAATTAATTTTAACCTTAGTTTAGTTTACATTTAAAATAACCCGCTATTCTGTTCAATTTTTTATTCTTTTTTGTCTAATTTGCGCGATACCGACTTGCGACACACACAGCTACATGAAGTTCGAGTCGTCAGTTATTCACGCTTAATCGCTGGTTTTCACGAGTGCCGCTATTTGATATACCATATTTTCCATTAATTAAATTGAAGTGTGCCGCAATCTTGTTTCATTCCGTTTCCACTCCGGACTGAAGACTGAGGGCCCTCTGCAACAGGGAAGACCCCGGAAAATCTGCGGTAAGTCGCAAGTCACTCAAAATTTACCTTAAAGATAGTTACGTGCCCAGTTCCATTTAGCTGGAGCTATCCAGAATTAATTAAAAATACAACAAATTATTCAATCCTAGAATTATAAAAGAAAGAAATTTTCAAAATCGATTTCATATTAATGTGTGGTGTGGTATGCTAGGTTAAAAAATATTAGGGCCATACTTCTTTGATGGTTCTTTAACTGGTGAACGGTATAACAATTTTTTCAGAAATCAGTTACAAGAGTATTTGGAAGAATTAACAGTTAATGAGTATGTCCACGTTATTTCCCAACAAGACGGTGCACCTCCACATAATGCCCAAATCAACATAAATTATTTGAATGTTACATTTGAAGACCCTTGGATTGGTACAAGAGGACCCATACATTGACCGTCACAATCCCCAAATATTAATCCACCGGATTTCTTTCTCTGGGGTTCCGTAAAAGACGAAGTTTATCTAACACTACCAAGTAACATTGATCAGTTGAAAGACAAAATTAGTACCGCAATAAATAATATTCCACATAACGTTAAATTAAATGCAGTTAGAAGATGATTCGAAGATGCGAATTATGTAAGTATCGAAATAAATGGACAGTTTGAACAGTACTTTCAAATTTCACTGTTCATTTTACATCGTTTTTGTTTGCATTTAATATTGTATTGTACAATTTTTGTTTATTAATATTACTATGTTATTGTTACATACATATTTTTCCTATACCTTTACTGTCTTATATTTGTTTCAAGTTTACTAATCTTTCTTCCGTTAGGACAACATCTGTTAGGATAATGTTATCGATAAAAATGTTAAGTCGCTCCACTGTTTTTTCTACATTCATAATAAACCTGCAGTATATCAACTAATTCATTAAAATCATTCATTTTGTTATAAGTTGAAAGATGACATCAATTACAAACAAACAGATATGTGACAGACAGCGAGCGGTATGCAAAATTGTTTTTCAAGCGCCTTCTATTTGAGATTATTTAGAAAGCGAACATCGTAAACCAAAGTCAAAGGCTGAAAGTTTTCTCATTTTTTGTAATAAGTTTCGTTATGCAACAGCATACAAATTTCATGTTTGGAAAAAAAATAAAAAATCAGTCAAAACATGCAAAAAACTTTATACAATACCATTCAAAAAATATTGATGACGTCATCACTCATCTACGGTGTGACGAAAAAAAAAAATTTGTAGGTCAGTATAAAGAAAATAGCATCCCATTTAAAAATATATATACTTTACTGGGTCGGGATCTTTATAATCAAACAGACTGTATACAAAAAATCAAAATATTTCTCTCAAATGTGAATTTTTTGAGTGATTTACTTATCTAAAATATGTTTCAATAATGTTTATGACGATTATGAAAAGGAGGTCATATTTTACTGATCAATTATTTTCATTACACGTTCGATTGCCTCCAATTTGTATTGCAGTCGGGACTATCTTATCTCAGTCATTAAATACTGTTATATAGAATTATAATATAATCTATTATAACAGATTTAGTAATATTTTTTACAGTCTTTAAAATACGTTATCTTTATTTACTTTATCTAAACATCGAATATATTATCGAAAATTTATAAACTGGTTTATTTTTTTGTAAGAGGATACTTTTAAAAAGTATTGATTTACCATAAAAAAATGCATATGATATTGCATTTCCAATTATGCCGATGGAAGATGTTCTTTTCTTCAATTAATCCAGATTGACCTTTTGCTCAGCATTCAAAAGGAGTTAACAAAATAGATTGCTGGAAAAACCGATGCTATATTTTTCTTTCAGTATTAACGACAATGGTGTAATTACGAACTTACTGGGGATTTGTTATAACTTCCAACATAGCTGTTTTCAACTTGTCTTTGTCTAGATACGGTCGCACCTCTACGATGACGGCGATACCCTTGCTTTGCATCAGTTTTGCGTTCTGTTCCTGGTCTCCGAAAAATGGAATGACGACAAGTGGTACTTCGCTATAAATAGCCTCTTCCATGGACTGAAGTCCTCCCTGGGTAACGAACAGTATTATATTCGGATGTGCTAAAATTAAAATAGATGCCATTATGATTAAGTTTCAGCAATCAATTAATATCACTGTGAGTCAGTAGTCAATGACAATAGTGATTTGAATGAAAAACATTGAATATCAATTGCTTCAGGATAACAATCAAAAATTAAATAACGCAAATAGTCTAGACTCCTAGAAGTCTCGACCTTCCTTTGACATTGCCATGTATGTTATTAGACACATAACCTGGAATTGACGAAATGTGACACTCAGAAGTGGTGGAAAGAAATTCCTGTGCAGAGACAAGCCAAGATCTTAAAAGGGCTACCGAAAAAGTTCTAGCGAATCTACTGAATTAAGCTTGCAGATCAGTAAGGATAAGGATAAGACTGTTAACTGAACATTACATATTCAGAAAATATATGTCAATTTATTGTAGGAGTGTGAAAGTCTATGGACTTAATCAAAGTTAAAGTCAGATGAGGAACTCTTGAGGTTATGCATCTTCACAATAGTCCTACGGAAGATGGTAGTGGAAAAGAGATTATTTGCACTCTATGTATTTACAATACCTGCAATATGCGAACTTACCCAAAACTGATTGTTGGGGAGACCATTTAATCAGCTTCACGTTGTCTGGCTTTCCAGGTAGTTCATCTGCTTCAAATTTCCACAAAATCTTGTATGGTAATGACTTTAATGTATCTATTATGGCCTCCAGTGTCTCTTTTCTTAAATCTTTGCTCTTCACGTTACTTCCTAAGCTGAAGTAAATGAAACCCTCTTTAGCGCTGTCCAAAAAGTCCTGCACATCCTGTAAAAAAACAATGTATTAGTTGATAATATACGACTTGTGGTAGATCAGAAATATTTGTCAATTTAGGAAGAGGTTTTCCAGGATATCCTAACAGTTTAGTACCAAACCTCTTGTTTTCCAGATACGTTGTGATTGATGGAAATAGATCACATACGACTTAATAGCGTTATACAGGGTGTTCCACTGGGAAATGCGTCGATCGATATCTAGGACTCTCTAGCACTTTCGGTTATATCGGAAGTCGATACCAACTTCGTTATTTTAAATGGGACACCCTAAATATTATTGCATTTTCGTATTCTACGTGATATTTTAGGGTCACTTTATTAAACATTCCCTATACCTAGCAGCGGATTTTTGGTACCTGTAAAGGGCATCGGTAACGCTAAATTACGGTATACCAACAAATTATTACATTTAATAATAGGTGTTTCATTTTTGCTGTTACATTTTGATAACTTCAAACAGCTATAACTTTGTTAACTGAACACTCGTTAACGGAACACCCTACATTTTTTTTACTTTGTCGTACGCAGATTGTAATTTACTTTCAAGCCATATAATTATTATTAAGGTTGCCGTTACTACTTTTAGAGATATTTGCAATTTTCTATTTTTTGTGAAAATAACTTGATATTTGTCAAGTTAGTTGTCAAATTATTGTTACGTCTGTAATAGTTTTTGCTGAAAATTTAAATAAAAATGCCTGGGGATCGTTTAAATCAGGTATGGGCAACCTTTGCTTAGCTGAGGGCGTAATTTCTGGACTTAATCAGGTCGCGGGCAGTAGGCAAGAAATAAGTAGGTAGTAGTGAATAAAAGCCACAAAAATGCACACATTTGTTTATTTATTAATTATAATAGCATAATCAAACATATAAAAAGCAAATTAATAAAAAAAGATAGAAAATCAAATGAAAATTAATGAGATGCTTGAGTTTGAGGCTGAGAAACAAGATTAACATCTGTAAGCCGAGTACGATGCTTATTTTTATTAATTTTCATGATTGAAAAAAGCTGCTCACATTTATACGTACCTCCGAATGTGCAAATTATTTTTCGTGCGAAAACTCTCAGCTGTGGATACTTTTCTTCGGAAAGGTATGTTCTGTAAAATTCGCGTAGTTCCAAATCATCAAATTTAGACTTCAAATATGAGTCTTCTTGAAGCTCGATCAACTCCATTTGTAGGTGAAGCGGAGCATCTTCCACATTACACTTACAAGGATTTGCAAAAATGTTAAAAGTGCTATCCATATTCTTATAATCGGAAAATCGATCAGTGAATTGCTCTGACAGTAGTTCCAGTTTTTCAGTATAGCCACCGTACCGTATTCAATGTTTTCGTGACTGGAGAATGTTAAAAAATGAAAACAGTTTTTACTTCTCATTTGTGTTTCCCACAAGCGAATTTTGTTTTGAAAAGCCCTTATTTTGAAGCTTCAAGTTCAGGTCGTTTGAGTGTCCTGTGATGTCTACCAGGAATGCCAAGTCACAAAGCCAAGTTGTATCACAAATTTGCGCCAATGTCTTCTCTTTCATTTCCATAAAATCAGCTATTTCTTTTCTAAGGTCATAAATCCTTTTTAGCATTTTGAACCAGACATGTTAATAGAATTTGCTAGAATATTTCTCGCGTCGTACTTTTGACCGTACGCGAATACGCGATGCGAACTTTATCAGTTGTTAAGAAGTAATGAGATGACACGCGCGCTGAGCGGTTTATATATTACCCCCAATAAGCAACTGAATACTCTCGATCGTACGAGAGTGCTTCAAGCGCATTGGGCGGCTTCCCGAATGTTTATTTGTTTGCCTCTTTCTAACGACTATTTCTGACTCGATATGTGGCGTTCCACTGCGTACCATTAATAATACTAATATATGTGTCGTCCAGAGTAGACGTATCTGAAAAGGTTCTGTATTTTTAACCATTTGCAGTAGTTATATCAAGATATATCAGGTGTTTTTTTTACTGAAGTGCTTGAATACAAGTATCTCTTTGTAAATATAACATTATTTTCATCTGATAAACCTGTTTTTCTGTGAAAAATCATAATTTGTGCAGTTGGTGTTTCCTGGTCGTACCACCTCAAATAAGAAGTTAATATGTCAAAACCGAATACAAGAGGTGTCCTTCAAAGTGGTGACAAGTCAACAGATGATGCCACTGAACAACTAATAAAAAAGGTATGCCAGAGTTTTTTTAACAAATTGATAAGTTTGAAGAGCTAAGCAAAAAACTTGATAGCGTAACCACAACTTTTCATAAACTAGACGAGGCTGTGAGTTCCAATAAAGAAGCTATTTCTAAACTAAGAAATAATTGTTGTCAATATGATCAATTCATGAAAAGAAATTGCTTAATTTTGTATGGTTTGCAAGAGGCCAAAGGAGAGGATGTCATCGAACTAGTATGTTCGGTAATAAACAATAAATTACAAATTCCTTGTACATCAGCTGATTCTGCCTATCGTTTTGGTGTAGTATCTGCAGGGACGAATGCCAGATCAATACGAATAACTTTCTTATCCAATATTATGAAGAGTCGTATTTAAATCGTATAAGAGACGTATTTAAATCCAAAAAGTCGTTAAAAGGTACAGGAGTTATGATATTTGAGGATCTTACCAAGGAGCAGTATGATCTATTTGGCGAGGCTAAAAGGAAATTCGACCGTAATGCATGGACAATTGCCGGCAACGTATATGTGTTAAAAGATAATAAAAAGTGTCTTATTAGTAGTTCTCAAGACTTGTGAATTGGTTGTCGTGGTAGAACTATAAATTTTTGCCCACACCAAAAGAGTATCCCAGCCATTAAAATGTTTTTTTACGTTCATAAATATCTCTCATTTTTTGCGTTTGCTTCGTCGCTGTGAATGCTTACTTTGGTGTTGGTGTTGTGAATTAGTTTTTTGTTTCTCTGTACATTTCCTGATATAAATGTTAATTAATATTTAAATTATAATGCACAAATGCTATTTATGTATGGGCTGAACCTTTTCCCTTATAAGTGGTGTATCAGATACATATTTTCTTCTTTTTCTTTTTTGATTACATAAATTTACTTTAATAGGGTTACTTAGTAGGTAGGAAAGCAGCAATATCCATATGTTAATTTATTATCAAAATTGTCGTGGGCTGCGCACAAAGGTAAAACAATTATATGATAGTTCGCTTGATACTGATTTTGATTTCCTGTGCCTTGTTGAAACGTGGTTGCATGAGGGGATATATGATGGACAAGTGTTTAATTTAGATTTGTATGATTTAATTAGATGTGATAGAAAGACGGAAGGTACCTTAACTCGGGGTGGTGGGGTGTGCATTGCGGTAAAAAAAGGAATAGGTATAAAAGTAATTAAAGCAATTAAGAAGCAGAGTCATTATGAAGTTTTAGTTTTAGATTTTTTTCTTAATAGTGTAAGATACACCTTTGTTATTTTATATATGCCACCAAATTCTAATAGTGAGCAATATGCTAATTTATATGACTTCATAGAGAATAATGTTAGTCATACAAATATTTACATATTTGGTGACTTCAATCTTCCCGAAGTATATAAGGAAAATAGGACCAATAATTTTCAATATTATTCCGACTTCATAAGTTTTTTATCATTGAAGAATATTAATTATATACGTAATTTGAATAATGTAATTTTAGATTTGGTGTTGGTCAGTAGCGATGATTATAACATTAAGATAGATAGAATAGCTGATCCTATAGTACCTGAAGATACTAATCACCCTGTTCTGGAAATAGTTCTCGGTGAATCTCAGACTAATATTGTATAAGATAACACTTGCAGTACAATTCGTTATAATTTCAAAAAATGTAATTTTTTAGATTTGGTGAATGCATTTAAGCGGGCGGATTGGTTGCCAGTTCTTACATAATCCGATGTTAATGTGGCTGTCAAAAGTTTTTACGATATTTTAAATAATGTGTTTGAACAATACGTACCTAAGATAATGATTAAACAATTTAACCGAATAAAGTATCCACCATATTTTACAAATGAAATAAAACATCTAATAAAGGAAAAAACTAAGTTCAATAGGTTAAGGAACATCTCTGAGGAGCTTAATTCTAGGTATCTTGAAATAACTCAAACCTAAGCGGGCTGTAGGTGCGGACGGGGTACCACCGTATGTTTTAAAGGGTTGTTCTGATTATTTCAGGGAACCTCTTCTGCATATTTACAACTTAATTTTGAAGACTAATAAATTTCCTGACTGTTGGAAAATTTCACTAGACAATCCAATTTATAAATCGGGAGAGAAATCTAATGTAAATAATTGCAGTATTATCGACGCCTGCAAAAGTTTTTGAACAAATATTGTACCGTAACTTATGAAGTCATTTTAGCACAGTAGTCAAAGACTGTCAACATGGATTTGCCCCTAAGATGTCAATATCAACTAATTTGGCTATATTCACCGATGATATATTCAGTGCATTTGAGAACGGATGTCAGGTGGATGCAATTTTTACAGATTTTCAAAAGGCAATTGACAGGGTAAATCATGATGTGCTTTTAAAAAAATTGGATATGTACGGGGTGAATGACAGCATAATTAAATTAATTGTTTCTTATTTGCAAAACCGCACATTTAAAGTCAAATATCATGGAATGTTTTCAAAAGTATATGTAACAAATTCAGGTGTTCCGCAGGGTTCTAACTTGGGCCTACTCTTGTTCTTGTATTTTATTAATGATTTACCCGATTGTCTTCATCATTCTGAATGCTTGTTGTTCGCCGACGATTTCAAGTTTTATAGACAAATTAAAGATGTAAATGGCTGTGCTCTGCTCCAGCTGGACATTGATTCTGTATTGCGTTGGAGTAAAGAAAATAAGCTTCATTTCAATATTAAAAAGTGCTGCAATATTTCCTTTACTCGAAAAAAAGACGTTGTTACTTACCCATATAAGATGGATAATACTCATTTAGTTAAGGTTCATAATGTTAAAGATCTGGGCGTTACGA